CCCGCCCCAGGCCCCCCCCCCAGCGCCCCGGAGCCCCCCGGAGCCCCGGCCCGAACGCCCCGCAGCCTCGCAGCAGCTGATGGCGCCGCAGCCGGGGCGGGCGCTGCGGATCCCCGGGCGCAGCTAGCGCGGGGAGGAAGAGCGCCTCCCCCAACCCGGCCAAGCCCGGACCCAGGGCTCCGCTGGCCCGTCGCTCCCCCAGGTCCCGAAGGTGAGGATGCCGGTGGGCGTGGGGGGTGGGCGCCGGGATTCCCCCGGGAGGGCTGGCGCCGGGCTGGGCACCGCGGCGCGCGGGAGGCGGACAGGACCCGCGGGCTGCTGGCAGAAGTTGTCTTCTGCTGCCCAGACTCGGGCCCTTCCTGGCCCTGGTGGAGAGTCCAGAGCTGCCCGAGGTCAAGCCATCGCTACCTCCTGCCACCTCCCACCACACACATCTTTCTTTCTGCCTCCCTTTCCCTGTCCTCCCTGGTACCTCTCTTCCCCGTCCTCCTCAGTCTCCACATCCCCCCCTGCCTTCTCTGGGAGTAACATTCGAGGCATAATCAGGGCAGAACATCAAGACTGAAGGGGGTAGGGGCTCCGGTTTTCCTATACATCCCACTCCCGTGTCGCTGGATCCTCAGCTTTGCTGAGGTTGGGGGTCCTGAAATCTTCAGTGGAGGAGGGAATCCATAGCCTAGGGGTATTGGGGGAGGAGGGGCTCTGGAGTGGAGAGGACCGCAAGACCCCTAAAGAACGTGGCTCCATCACTGGCCAAGTGACCCCACTTTGCAAAGAGTCCCAGACATTTGTCAAGGGCTGACTTCTACTTCCAAACTCAAGTCCCCAGGAGATCCAAGGACTTGAGAGGGGAGTAATTATTTTTTTGTGCATGTACTTACTTGCCCTGGTGATTCCTAATAACACTCAACCTATTCTCCCTGTCTCACCAACATTCGTTGCATGCCTGTTCAATGCAGGGGATTCCCAGAGACAAAGCCCTGCCCTCAGGAAGCTTATGGCTTAGAGCAGAAGGCAGGTGCACACACACACCCCTACGCGTGCGCGCACACACACACACACAGAATGAAGTGTGATACATGGCAGAATGCCTGGGAAACACAGACGCAGGAGTCATTACAGCTTGGTGGGGGTCAGGGAAGGCTTCATGGGAAAGATGGCATCTGAGCAGGACCTTGAATAATGGGTCAGGTTTCAGGAGGCAGAGGATAATCAGTGAGGGGATGTCCACGGGTATGGGAAGAGTTTGTTGTGAGAGCAGCAAGAGGTAGAATCTGAAAGAGGAGGAGATCAGACTGCAAACGTGGACTGCGTTTAGATTGTGAAGGGCCTTAAATGCCAGGGTGAGCACCCAGTGGGGTGCTCCTACTTGCCAGGCATTGTAGTTGTGTATACTGGGCAAGTTACTTAACCTCTGTGAGCCTCTGTTTCCTCATCTATGGAGTGGATATACTAATAGACCCTTCAATGAAGGTTGTAAAGGTAAATGAGTAAATATATGAAAAATGCTAAGAACAGTGCCAGCCACTTATTATTATTATCATAAGTATTATTACCTGTGCATCCATATCTGAGAAAGACAATTCTTGAGTTCCTGCTCTCCCCCCTACCCTGGGCCTCAGACTCAGGTAGTAAAGAGGAATAACAACTAAGAAAAGTCAAAAAACATGTTAATTCATTTATTTATTCATTTATTACCATGCCTGTCCTATCTAAAATACCTGTCCTGGCTATAAGAATAATAAAAATAAGTTTAACATGCTCCTTAAAACAAGAAGGCATTCTTAAAGAATTTTAACAAACTGTGGGTATTGAGTGTTCAGAACAGTGCAAGGGTATTTGTTGACTCAATAAATATTTTCAGTCCCAAAGAGAAAAGAAACATTAAGAATGAAATTGAAACTGGGACAAGAGACGCGGTCGGGGGGTGAGGGGTGGCAGACAACGCAAACTCCACGCAAGCAGAAAGCAAGAGGCTTCAGTTCTGGTTCCTCTCCCAGGGACTTGGTCTGCCTGAGGAAGAGATGGGGGCAGCAGAGGCCAGGGGACACTGAGGAGACCAAGGGAGGGGGAGTGGTTAGCCACTCAAGGAAAGATTGGACTGTAAAAGTGGTTTTCAAACTTTTGGTTAGCAGAAGCCTTTTCTCCAATGAATTTGTATGTCCAAGCCCATCTTCTAAAAGAGAGATAAAATTAGCAAAGCCTCAAGCTCTGCCCTTTGCCTCCAACCCTTTTGGCAACATCTGCAGAACTCTGGGGCCTATAGAGCAAAATTTGAAAACCACTGATTCGGATGATTTGGAAGGCCCTCTGAGCCCTGAGTGCTATGATTCTGTACTTTCTGTGGCTCTTCCAACCCAAAGAACTATAAAAACTGGAGAGGGGAGAGAACTACAATTTCCTACTTGCCAAGTCAGTTATAGTCGGATAGCTGGGAAGGAAAGTGGGTACCTAGAAGCTCCAAAGAGAAGCAGGAGGCGAGATTGTTTTTTGTTTTTTGTTTTCTGAGGAAGATCAGCCCTAAGCTAACATCTGCCAATCCTCCTCTTTTTTGCTGAGGAAGACTGGCCCTGGGCTAACATCCGTGCCCATCTTCCTCCACTTTATATGGGACTCCGCCACAGCATGGCTTGACAAGCAGTGTGTCGGTGTGCGCCTGGGATCCGATGAACCCCGGGCCACTGCAGCAGAGCGCATGCACTTAACCGCTATGCCACCGGGCCGGCCCCGGTGAGATCGTTTTCAGAGACCAGGAGCCCAGGCCTTAGAGGGTCAGAATTGTGCCAAGGTCAGAGGATTCCCGAGCCTGACACTTTGTCTATAGTTGGGGACCTGAGCACAGAAGGCTTCTCCCACCAACTTCCCCAAGGGGAAAAATATCTGTAACTTTCAAACAGATGAGAGGCATATCAAAAGCACTTGGGATTAACTCTATAAATTGTGAACCGTGTGTTACAGGCCCTTTTTTATTCTTGATGACAATTTTTAAGAATGAACATTTTTTATCAAACTAGAAATTTAAAACAAAGAAGATCTAGGAGCACAGGGAAAAGGTGGACAGCAGAAACAATGCAGGCCCTGAGGTGGTCAAGACAGGGGTCAGAGGTGAGGGACCTTTCTCACTTTAACCTGTGAGGCTGGGCATTTTGGGCTGGATGTCGGGGAAGATGGAGCTGATAGCTCTAACTCTTCAGCTGCTGCCACTGGCCTGGACCAAGTCCTCAGGCATAAGCTTCTTCTAAAGCCGGACAGTTCCATGGGCCGGCCCCGTGGCTTAGCAGTTAAGTGCTCGTGCTCCGCTGCTGGCGGCTCTGGGTTTGATCCTGGGCGTGCACCGACGCACCGCTTCACCGGCCATGCTGAGGCCACGTCCCACATACAGCAACTAGAAGGATGTGCAACTATGACATACAACTGTCTACTGGGGCTTGGGGGAAAATAAATAAATAAAATTATAAAAAATTAAATAAAATAAAGCCAGGAGGTTCCAGTACTGCATTTCTATGCAAAACCCTGACATTTTCCTGGGTTGGGCCTTCTGAAGTGCGTGCGACTCCCTAGCCACACAGAGAGATCTGAGTTGTGCCTGATGCCCCCGTCTCCACTGCATCTCCCGCCCTCCCCAAACAAACTAAATAACATCTAAGAAAGAATATTTGCCAAGGTCATTTGTGACCCAAATTTCTGCCCTGAGGAAAGCAACCTGCCTAGTTAGAAGCAAACACTCAAGTCCTTCTGGGAAGGCGCAGAAACAACTGGTTGGCTCAGCCTCTCACTGTGGCCAGAGTCCAGTCTCCAGGGCTGTGTGGAAGGGGCTTTTACTCTTTAGAAACATTTGCATTTCAGCGGCTGGGAACAGACATTTTCTCTTTTCATTGTAAGCACAGACCCACACACCCTCATCCTCCAAGTACACACACAGCAGACACATAGATGCAAGAGAAGCAAGAACCCCCCCACACACACACACACATGCATGTATGTATACATACCTGCACTCTTCGAGGCACACACACAGGCTCAGGTACATGTACAGATACATAGGCACACACATCCCAACATAGATAGACAGTAGACAGACATAGCTCACCTGTTTCTTCTGAGTTATGCACCAGTATGTCTATTCGACTACCTGCTTGACATCTATTTCTCCTTGTTGGAGGTCTCTTGAGTATGTCAAATCTAACATGTCTCAGGCTTGATTTTCCCTTCTCTGTAAATCTGCTCCTCCATCAGTCTGCCCCAGCTCCACAAATTCACTCACTCATGCATTCTACACATATTTACCAAGTACCTCCTGTTTGCCAGATTCTGTGCTAGGTACTAGGAAACAGGAGGAAGCAAAACAGAGTCCTTCATCCTGTGTTGCCAACAATCTGGCAGGGGAAACAGACAATAAACAAAAATGTAATATATGCATGTGGTAATAAGTTCATGGAAGAAAAACAATGCAGATTAAGGGAATGGAGAGTGACAGAGGGTTCTGTTTTAAATCAGGCAATCAGAGAAGGGCCCTGAGGAGGTGACATTTGAAGAGAGTCCCAAATGAAGGGAGGGTCTGGGCCATGAGGGCGTCTTGGCGAAGGGCATTCCTGGCAAAGGGGATAGCACATACAAAGTCCCTGAGGCGAGAGTGTGGTTAGCACGTTCAGGAACAGCCAGGAGGCCAGAGTGGCTGGGGTGGAGCCAGCAGTGGGACAGCAGTAGGAGATGAGAGCAGACAGAGCTGGGGCGATTGTGCAGGGTCTGGTAAGAACTTTGGATTTGGTGTTAAGTGTGATGGGAAGCCAATGGAGGGTTTTGAGTGGGAAGTGGGGAGACATGATCAGATTTGCTAAAGGGACTCTGGCTGCTGTGTGAAAAACAAGGGCAAGAGTGGAAGGGAGAAGTCAGGTAGGAGGCCACTGCAGTGGTACCAGGGGGATGGCAATGGCTGGGACTAGGGAGACAGCAATGGAGATAGCGAGAACTGATTGGATTTAGGACACTTTTTTTGAGGAAGACTGGCCATGGGCTAACATCTGTTGCCAATCTTCCTCTTTTTCTTTATTCTCCCCAAAGCCCCAGTACATAGTTGTATATCATAGTTGTAGAGTTGTAGCTCTTCTGTGTGGGACGCCGCCTCAGCATGGCTTGATGAGTGGTGAGTAGGTCTGCGCCCAGGATCTGAACTGGCGAACCCCAGGCCACCAAAGCAGAAGGCGCGAACTTAACCCTACACCACTGGGCCAGCCCCCTTAAGACATTTTTTTGAAGGTAGAGCCAACAGGATTTGCACATGGATTGGCTGTGGACTACGAAAAAGAGAGGAATCAAAGATGACTCCTAAGTTTGGGGCCTGACCAACTGACAGAACAGGTAAATAGCAGTGCTGTTTATCAAGACGGTGAACTGTGGGCAAGAGCAGGTTTGTAGGAGGGATCACAGGAGTTCAGTCCTGGGACTTGTGAAGGACCTATTAGACATCCAAATGGACATATTAGGGAATCAGTCTAGTGTGCAGGGGAGAGTTAGTCTAGGGGTCAACATATAGATCGTATTTACAGCCATGGGATTGGACGAGATCACCTGAGGGGTGATTAGATAGAGAAGAGGTCTAATGTGAAAGATGAGGAAGTGGGGAACGATCCAGCAAATGTGCCTTCATACTTGAGTTGGCAAAGCTGGAGAACTGCTCTCCGCGTCATCATGACCTAATCCAATCCATCCCCACATCCTGCCAATTCTACCCCCAACATACACCTGGAACTTCTCCCCATCTCACCTCCATCATCTGGTCCAGGCCTCCATCATCTCTCACCTTGACCACTGCTACATTCTCCCAGCTGACCTCCCCACCCCCCTAATCCGCCCTCCCCAGAGCAGCCAATGCTGTTTTAAAAATGCAAATCATATCACACCTGTCTCCTGCTTAAAATCCTTTAACTTCCCAATTCGCTTACTATTAACCCAAAATTCTTGACATAGTTGACAAGACCCTGTGTGATCCTTCTCTTGCTAACCTCACTTCCTGAGACCCTCCCCCAATACCTTCCACTTCAGGCTTCTCCAGTGGTAGCAATATCTCTGTTCCTCAAAAAGACCATGTGAAGCACTTAGCACAGGGCTTGGCACATAGTAGGCACTCGATAAATGTAAGCTATCATTATTACCCTCCCTCTGGGCCTCCACAGATGCTGTTCCCTGTTTGGGATGCTCTTCCCTTTACTCTTCTAACTCCTACCCCACCCCCTTCAAGTCTGTATTAGTTTTCTATTGCTGCATAACAAATTACCACAAACTAAGTGGCTTAACATAAATTTATTGTCTCACAGTTTCCCAGGATCAAGAGTCTGGCATGTTTTACTTGGGTCCTCCACTCAGGGTCTCACAGGGCTGAAATCAAGGCAGGCTGCATCTGAAGGCTCAACAGGGGAAAGATCCACTTCCAAGATCCCTTAGGTTGTTAGTAGAATGTACTTCTTTGCGGTTGTAAGACTGAAGTTCCCTTTGTCTTGCCAGCTGTCAGCCAGGGACCATTCTCAATACTAGCGGCCTCTCTCAGGTCCTTGCCTGTGGCTTCCTCCATAGGCTCGCTCACAGTGTGGCAGATTACCCCTTCAAGGCCAGCAGCAGAATCTCTCTCAGGCTTCAGATCTCTTCCTTCAGTAAGGGCCCTTTGAACTGGCCTGCCCACAACAATCTCGCTTTTGATTAATTGCAAGTCAACTGATTGGAGACCTTAATTACATCTGAAAAATCCCTTCACCTTTGTCATATTTATATTTTTTCCCCCAAAGCCCCAGTACATAGTTGTATGTCATAGTTGCACATCCCTCCAGTTGCTGTATGTGGGACACAGCCTCAGCATGGCAGGAGAAGCGGCGCGTTGGTGCGCGCCCGGGACCCAAACCCGGACCACCAGTAGCGGAGCGCACACACTTAACCGCTAAGCCACGGGGCAGGCCCCATCTTTGTCGTATAACCTAACCACAGGAGTGAAATCCATCATAATACAGCCCCACCCACACTCAAGGAGGGGGAATGGTACAGGAGGCCGTGCACACCAGGGCTGGGAATCTTGGACACCATCTTGGAATTCTGCCTGCCTGAAGGTTTCAGCCTAAAATCACTTCCTCAGAGAGCCCTTCCCTGACCCTAAAGCTAAAATAGGTCCCACTTTATATTCTCTCACATTACCCTGTAAGTTTCTTTCATGGCACTTATCACAGATTGCAATTGTATACTTATTTGTATTATTATTTGTCTGTTTGATGCATGTATTTATTTGTTTGATTCACTCCTCCTCACCCCTTGAGCTCCATGAGAGCAAGAATTTTGTTTTATCACTGCTTCCCCCATACTCAGCACAGTGGTTGGTAATAGTAAATCATTAAATGAATGAATGATGAACAAACGAGCAAATCAAGACAGGGATGGGGCTGGCCCCATGGCATAGTGGCTAAGTTCAGCGTGCTCCGCTTCGGTGGCCCGGGGTTTGCAGGTTCAGATTCCAGACGCGGACCTATACCACTCTGTCAGCCATGCTGTGGCAGGCGTCCCACATAGAAAATAGAGGAAGATTGGCATGGATGTTGGTGGGGGCTAATCTTCCTCAAGCAAAAAAGAAAAAGAGGAAGATTGGCAACTGATGTTAGCTCAGGGCGAATCTTCCTCACCAAAATAAAAGACAGGGATTAACCTGCTCACACAACAAAAAGGCAGAGAAGAGAAGGGATGCAGCATTGATTGAGCCAGGTCCTGTGCTAAGTGCTCTACACCCTTTAATCTCATTTCATCCTCTCAGCTATCCTAGGGCTGTCCCTGTTAGTAGCCTCATTTTACAGAGAGGGAAACCAGGTTAACCTTCTTGCCCAAAGTCACACAGCAGGTAACTGAAAGACCTAGGATTCAAACCCAGGACTGTTCTCGGTGCAAACATTGGGAACTTTCTTTGGATTCAAGACTTGGTTGGAGGGCCAGCCCCGTGGCTTAGCGGTTAAGTGCGTGCGCTCCGCTACTGGCGGCCCGGGTTCGGATCCTGGGTGCGCAACGACGCACCGCTTCTCTGGCCATGCTGAGGCTGCATCCCACATACAGCAACTAGAAGGATGTGCAACTATGACATACAACTATCTACTGGGGCTTTAGGGGAAAAAAAAGGAGGAGGATTGGCAATAGATGTTAGCTCAGAGCTGGTCTTCCTCAGCAAAAAAAAAGAGGAGGATTAGCATGGATGTTAGCTCAGGGCTGATCTTCCTCACAAAAAATAAAAAAGACTTGGCTGGAGAATTGGGTCTGCCACCACTTACTGCCCATGTGAACTGGCACAAGTCACTTCTGCTCTGAGTCTCAGCTTCTTTGTCTGTGAAATGTAGGTGGTACTACCTCCTGAAGAGTGGTTGGCAGAAGTAAGATAACGTGTATAAAGTTCCCTAAACATAGCAGATAGTCAGCAAATGTAGCCACTGATTCCCACAGGCCAAAGGGCCAGCCCCTGCTGAAATGAAAGCCCTGTTTGGTTGGGTGAGGGAGCTTGGGGGTACAAGGGGAGGGGGCTCGGAGAGAGGAACCTGTGAATGTGAGGTTCTCCAGTGGACCTGCTTGATGTGACCCTACAAATGAAAATCTCGATTTGCAGAGACTGACATGGAAGCCAGTCAGGAGGGGACCATTTGCTGAACAGAACCGTCCATCCACTGGCCTCCCTCTCCACTGCCCAGGGAATTCCTGGGGCAGGTGGAGGCGGGTCCTTCAAAGCTTAGGGAGTCCCTGGCAGAAAAGGCATGAGCTCTGAGTGCTGGGCTCCGAAGGTCTGGGCCTCCACTGCCCTCTGCCTCCTGTTGTTGCCCTCTGCCTCTGCTTTTCCAGGACGCTGTTCGTCACAGAAGAGACTCACTGGGAAAGGGGTGGGGCCGGAAAAGAGCTGAAAACCAGGCCATCATCAGGATTCAGCGATGCAAACCTCCCCCTCCCATCACAGTGTCTTAAGTTTCCACCATGGATTCACTGCTTGTGTCTCCATATCACCCTCCTCCATTCCTCTTTTAAAAAGGAACTCCACCACCTGCCTTCAGCCCAGAGTCAGTGTTAGTAAAACATTCATCAGATCTTCCTCCTCTGTGATCTGGAAGAACCCAGAGTCCTGGGTTGAGGTTAAGTCAGAGAAATGGAGTTGAACTGGGAGAGGGATGTGCTCTAACCATCATGCTGCCCTGCCAGTTGACAGTCACCCTTGAGCTAGGATGCTTGCAGGATGGCAGTGCTGGAAGAGACTTCAGGATTCATCCACTCCACAATTCCCTCATTTTATGCATGAGAAAACCAAGAGCCCAGAGAGGCAGAGGGCTTGCCCAAAGTCACCCAGCTGGGTAAGAAGCAGGATAGAGCCCAAGTCTCTGTCTCTCTTTGCTGACTTTGCTGCTCCGTTTGTTTTCTTTTCCGAGAAGTAGAAGAGGCTAAAGTTACATGGGTGCAGGGGAGTGAAGCCATTTCCCTCTGAGCCTCTGGTTCTTCATCTGTTAAATGGGAATCTTCCCTACCAACACACCCACCTGTTCATGAAGCTTCAGTGAGTAAATACAGGGGCAACGACTGTGGTGGCAGAATTTTCTACCTGGTGGCAGCAGGACCCCAGATTGGAGGAGACTGTGGGATTTGAGTATGAGCAGGGCAGATGGGCCCAGAAGATGTGGGATCACCTTGTCATCCTCCCCAGGTGGGGCCCAGGCCTGGGTTGCCATGGATACCGTGTCCCTGGAGCATCAGATCCAGAGCGTGCAACGACACATCAGCTTCCTGAAAAAAGAGCAGATGGCCCTGCTGCGAGACCTGCACCTGGAAATCCTGAGGCTGCAGAAACGCTGCTCAGGTGAGGCCAGGAGGGACAGCTGGGTGAGGGGTGGGGGCGGGGGCGACTGTCCCCATCATAAGCACTATCTCTGATAGGGTGCCCACCATGAGCCTCTTTAAGCTTCACAACAATCCTGCAGGGTGGGTGTTCATCACCTGTTTTCCAGATGAGGAAACTGAGTCTTGGGGAGGTGAGATACGAGTTTCAGGGCACAGGGCTCTGGTTTGGTAGCAGAGGGAAACCTGGGGACATTCCTGGGGATTCCTGTCCTTTTCTACTAAATGTCCATCAAGGACCTCCCAGCCTTAAGGATCCCTTAGTCTAGGTGGGGAGACACACACACTAACAGGTTATATTAAGATATAGAGAAAATAAAGAAAGCCGGCGGGAGTTCACGGGCAGGATCATGTCCAGCTTGAGGCGTGGGTGATGGAGGAGGGGACCAGGCATCCCAGGCTCCCCAGAGGAGGGAGCGTTTCCACTTCCTGAAGGCTGAGCAAGATTTAGACACGCTGAGATATTACGGGGGAATGAGGGTGGAGAAAGCATTCCAAATGACAGGAACAGCATGGCAAAGTCCTGAAAGTAGGAAACCAAAAGCTCCTGAAAAGTTCTATTTGACTGGATAAAGCTATGCTTAAAGCTGATGAAAAATCCAGCTGGAGCCAGATCGCGGAAGACCTTGACAGATATTAGGACAGCTAAGAAGTTTGGCCTGTCCTCCTGGGTAGTGGGGAGCCACTGAACGTTTTTGAGCAGCATCATGCTGCCTTAAGAAACTCAATCTGGGGGCCGGCCCGGTGGTGCAAGCGGTTAAGTGCGCGCGATCCGCTGCGGCGGCCTGGGGTTCCCCGGTTCGGATCCTGGGCGCATACCGATGCACTGCTTGGCAAGCCATGCTGTGGCGGCGTCCCATATAAAGTGGAGGAAGATGGGCACGGATGTTAGCCCAGGGCTGGTCTTCCTCAGCAAAAAAAGAGGAGGATTGGCAGATGTCAGCACAGGGCTGATCTTCCTCACAAAAAAAAAAAAGAAAAGAAAAAAAGAAACTCAATCTGGCAGTGGTATGGAAGATGAATTGGTGGGAGAGGAGGCAGAGAGACTAGTGACAGGGGAGAGATGAAGGAGGATGGAAAGGGGAGGACCAGTGGGAGGCAGATTGAAGGAAAGGACTTGGCAACTGATTGGATTTGTGAGCAGAACAGAGGGAGGTGCCAAGGATGAACTAAATCCCAGGCCTGACCTCCACTCCTGGCCCTCAGGCCTTGGCTGCCTGGGCCTCTCAGAGGCTTGGTCCTGGGCCAAGTGCTCATCCAGGCTGAGTCTCCAAGTGCAGGCTTTAGAGCCAATGACTCCTTGAATGTCTCAGCTGGAACGGCCCAACCTCTTCATTGTACAGGTAGGTAAACTGAGGCCCAGAGAGAGTCACAATATGTTAGTGGCAGAGCCAGGACTAGAACCCAGGGCTCCAGACTCCCAGTCATGCATGCCTCTGCAGCTTTCTGCACATTCTCTCCCCAAGACGCTCAGATTTCTACCTCCCTTCCAGGTTCTGCTCATGGGAGGCCCCCCATCCCCCAGAGGGTGTGATGACCTGCCTGGCTTCTCACTCTGTGGCACGAGGAGCCAGCAGTCCTGACTCTCAGCCCCTACAGCCTCCTCCAGCACCTGTCACATCCCAAGGCCAGGCTCCCTGCAGTCTCGCACAAAGCCTGGATGACAAGAGAGGCTGGCCCAGGGGGCAGGGATGGCCCAGGCCAACTCACTCCTGCCTGGTACCACTTTCTCATTGCAATGACAACACTAAAGGAAAACTAAGATGAGAAAACCCTAAAACCCCACAGCTCTTCCTCTGATTTATTTTTGCTTTGCCCTAATCCTGAAGACCTTGGTCCTTCCACTCAGAACACAGACCAGGATCCCAAGAAGGTGTAATAGCAGGAACAGAGGGCCTTCGTCCCGCCCCTCCCACCCTTCTCAGGCTGGTGTGGACCTGCAGCCTCTTGGTTATTGATTAAGGAGATAAAAATAACTCTGGCCTGGAACAGCCACCCTTGGGGCTGATATGACTGAATAAGGCCCTCCCTCCAAGGGGTGGGAGAGTGAGGAAGAGAAAAGAGTAGAGCAAAGGAGAAGATTAAAAAAAAAAAGATTAAAAAGGGACCCAGAGGCTGGGAAGGGGATGGGAGAGGAGAGGGGCTGGTGTAGGAGCTATGGGGGCAGAGCTGCAGGAGAGCCTGCCAGAAAGGGGTGACAACTCAGAATGGAGGGGCTTGAGAGGTGGGTGGGTGTGTTCTGGGTGGTGGGCAGCCTGGATGACAAGAACTGCCCCCGTGTACTCAGCACTGACTCAGCCATGGGCTGAACCCTCTGTTTATTTTCTCTCACTTAATCCCAGCAACAGCCCCTGGTGAGGTAGGTGTGATTCTGTCCCCATTGTGCAGATGAGAAAACTGAGGCTCAGAGAGGTGCTGTCACAGGCCCAAGGTCACACAATGTATGTGGCCTCACAGCATACTCATCTAAACCTTGGGGACTCTGCTCAGAAGATGGGCAGGGAGATTTGATGGATGGGGGAGCAGAGCCCAGCTGGAATTCTGTTTCCCCTCCCCCAGCTCCGGTGATTAAGGGCTGAGGAGAAACCAGCCCACAGGGAGTTAATGGCAGAGCTAAAATCCTTTGGGCTATGTCCCTGAACCTAGTCCAGGCTTCCTTGGGCTACATGGCAGGGCCTTGGAGGAGGGCCAAGTTGGCCCCAGGAAGCCCTGAGGGGTGGAGGCATCCGAGTCCTCCCAGGGGCCCCAGGGAGGAGGTTCAGGCTCTGGTCACAGCAGAAAGCCCAGGCACCCCAAGCTCTCTGTCTCCTAGCAATAGTTGGCCTCCCCAGGGAAGGCACCTCCAGCGAAGCCCCTGGTCTCCAGAAGAGCGGATGGGGCAGTGAGGAGGGGCAGGCAGAGAGCCCACGAGGCTAGTCTCTGTAGGTGCTGCTGGGCAGTGGTCCCAGAGACCTGCTACCTTCCCCAACCCCCAGGTTCACACACCTCCCTGCAGGCGCACACAGGTGCTCCTGAGTAGGTGCCCTCCGTCACAGGCAGCTGCAGCTCCCCTACTCCCTCCTGCCCCTTGGCAGCTCATGAGCCCTGGTGGAGTTGCCGGAATGGGGGCGGGGCTGGAAAAATGATCCAACTCTGCTGGCTGAGGGGTGGGGCATTCTGGGCTCTAAGGAATGGGGACTGGGAAGTCAGGCAGGCAGAGGGATGGTGGCTAGGCTGCCAGTGCCCAGGAGGAAACTGCTCCTGCACCGGCGCCCTTGGCGGGCTCCTTGGCTGCCCCGCCCCGCCCCCTCAGCACCAAGCCAAGTGCCATGCAGGCTTTGCCTCGCCAGGTGGCGCTGTCCTCCTTGAAGCCCCCTCCCGCCGTGCGGAATATGGCGGAACCAAGGCTTGGAAAGGGGCAGGGCTGATGTTCAGAAAATAACAGAGGCACAGCGGTACCGGCTGTGAAAAGTGAAACGCATGTGTCCTATTGGTAAATCGCCATTGCCCTGAGTCCCCGTCCAGTGGTCCCAAGCAGCCCAGGACACTCAAGCCTTCCCAGATCTACCAACTAAAAAATAAAGGGTCCAGCCCCTGCGCAGCAGGGGGTCCTCAAGAACCCTGATTGGTTGGCATGTTCAGTATTTGCATGTCACCCTTGGGAAGGGGCACATACTTCTCCAGCCCCAAAAGCAAGCCAGGCTCCTCAGTTCCACAAGGGTTGAACTAACCCCCAAATCCAGGCCACAGAGCTTGCGCTGGAAAGATCTCTGGGCTTAGAAACTAAGCTGTGCCTTGGCACCTCTCTTCATCTGTTCCGCTCACTGGGCTGTGGTCAAAGAGGTATGGGGGCGTTTCTAAGGATCCTTATTGCCACTTTTACTGGGCTGTGATTCCCTGATCTCTCTCACACACATTCTCTCTCTCTTACACACACACACACACACAGACACGACTGCCTTTTCTTTTCTCTCCCCCAGAACTGACCCATGACCTGGAGATGAGAGAGGCCCAGTCTCACCAACAAGGTAAGAGAAGAATGACTGGTGGGGAAGTGCCACGGGGCCAACAGGTCACCTTTTCCCCACCACTTAGTAGGACCCAAGCCTTCTCCATCCCCAGTCCAGACTTGGGGACTCCACTCCTCAGCTTGTTAAGCAGATGCGGGATGTCAGCCCCACTTGCCCACTCAGCTGGGTGACATTGTGCAGTGAACAACCTGCACCACCATACGTAGTGCCCTGTATCCATGTCTCTGTCCAAAGTACCAGAATGAATGCAGGAAGGAGATGGTGCCCAGGAAGTCTACCTGGCCGAATTCATTCCTTTCTGTGACCCACTTCCCCAATCCCTCCCATCCTTGCACAAACGATTCCCATGGTCAGTGTCCATGCCCTCCAAGATGCTGAGTGTCAAGATGCAACACAATGACAATATGGGGTCCTTGACTTCAAGGAACTTAAGTCTAGATGAGGGGAAAAGAGACACACACATTAGCAAATCCTTCATTTTGCAAAAGCATGACTTCTTGCCAATGTAGCAATTCCACTAAAAGATTTGTTTACAGATTATTAGTTCCCCCATAAAATGGGGCATGGGGCAGAGATGGTGTTCAGTAGGTATAGGGTTTCAGTTATGCAAGATGAAAAAGTTCTAGAGATCTGTGGCACAACAATGTGAGTATACTTAAACTACTGAACTACACTTAAAAATTGTTAAGATGGTAAATTTTAAGGTTTTTTTTATGACAATTAAAACTTTTTTTAAATGGGAGGGGTTGCATTGTTGAGATCTTAACCACCAGATTATCTGATGTCTAAGAACTAGACTGGGTGTGACCCATTGTCTCCAAGTACAAGACACATTACCTGGCATGGAGAGGGACTCCATAAATGTTTAATTAAAAATTAATCACAGGGGCCAGCCCGGTTTGCAGGTTCGGATCCCAGGTGCAGACCTATGCACTGCTTATCAAGCCATGCTGTGACAGGCATCCCACGTATAAAGTAGAGGAAGATGGGCACGTATGTTAGCCCAGGGCCAATCCTCCTCAGCAAAAAAAAAAAAGAAGAAGAAGAAGAATCACAAAAATAGCCTTTTTTTAGCCGGGAGAGATTTAAGAATGGACTCCCTGCCAGATTAATGTGCTGCTTATAGAGCAAGAGCTGCATGACCAAGAGTTAGGGATAGGGAAGGCTGGAAGCTTAAGGCAAAATGTTAGAAGCCCTACAAATTGCTTTGTATATTTGTGCATAAGGATCTAAACACTTATGGACTTGAACGAATTCTGCCCACTTCTTTAAGTGGCGACCTCTTGGTGCCTAGGTGCTTGGAGGAAGGGGGCACACATCCCAGACACCAGGTAAGGACAGTTCTGTGACAACAGCAGTTTCCACTCTCCCTACTGTCCTTCCTCTGAAAGGGCTTTTGGGGTCATCTGGGCTCAAGGCACTGCCACAGTGTTCTGGTTTTTACATTCTTTCTCAGTGGCCTTGAGAGCTTTCTTTTTTTGTCCTTTTCTTCTATGAAAATCACGGAGTGATTTTCATATCCCTTCCAGTTCCATCTTTTGCCTACCTTTTGTCACCTATCCACTACTTATGTCCCTACACTCACTCACATATGCTACCTCAGGATACTGTCCCTGCTGAAATGGAGCTTGTGATCCAGGAGGCAGGGGCCCTCAACTCTGGGTGTACATTAGAATCACCTGGGAAGATTTGAGAAGTACCAGTTCCCAGGTTCAATCTCAGATTCTGATTCAATTGGTCTTTAGTTGGACCTGGGAAACTATTTTTTTAAAGCTCTCTAGGTGGGGCCGGCCCGGTGGCACAAGCGCTTAAGTGTGCGCGCTCCCCTGCGGCGGCCCGGGGTTCACTGGTTCGGATCCCGGGCGCGCACTGACGCACCGCTTGGCCAGCCATGCTGTGGCGGCGTCCCATATAAAGTGGAGGCAGATGGGCACGGATGTTAGCCCGGGCCAGTCTTCCTCAGCAAAAAAAAGAGGAGGATTGGCAGATCTTAGCACAGGACTAGTCCTCCTCACAAAAAAATAAAATAAAAAAATAAAAATAAAGCTCTCTAGGTGGTTCCAATATATATCCAGTGGCAAAGGCAACCGCCACTGCAGTGGCAAAGGCAGACAAACAAATTTAAAAATTACAAAGTGCAGTAAATTGCTTTCTCTGTGAAGGAAACAAAGTTCGGGCACACTGACTCCCCTCTCCTGCCCACGCTCCCAGTTCTTTCAGTCCCTTGCTCTTGCGTGTCTCTCCTGCTACAGGGCTTTTGCACAAGTTGTTCCCTCTGTCCGAAGCACCCTTCTCTCCCCTCTTCATTACTTAACTCCTATTCATCCTTCGGAGCCAAGCCCAAGCAGCTCTTCTGCTGAGAAGCCTGCCCTGATTAGGTCACATTCTCCTGTTACAGTCACGGCATTGGCACATGTCACAGAGGCAACCTCACATTCATTTGTGATTCTGTACTATACGTCCCCTACTATGCTGTAGTGCTGTAAGCTGCATGAGGACTGTTTTATTATCCACCATATCCCCAGTGCCTAACACAGTGCACATAGTTAGGGCTCAACAAATATTTCTGGGGTGAATAAATGGTCAGGGAGGGTTTTGCATTTAAGCTGAAACCTGAAGAATTAGAGGAGAGGCCAAGCAGAAGGCAGGAAGGTGCGAGGGCCCTGAGGAAGGCAGGCCAGTGTAGCCGGTGCGTGGGGAGTGACCGAGAGCGGCAGGACACGTAGCTGGGGAGGTGCGGGGCTCTGTTACGCGCATCGGTGGGCTGTGCAGGTTCGGCCAGGGGGGGACCGTCACCTCTGCCCTCTATCTCCTCTTTGCAGAGGCGGCGTCCCGGGAGCTGGAGAGCAAGTGCCGCGCGCTGGAGTCCCAGCTGGCGGCGCGGGCGGCGGCCAACGCGGAGCTGCGGCGGGAGGTGGCGCAGCGCGAGGCGCTGGTGTCGGCGCTGCGCTGCAGCCTGCGCGCCGAGGAGCGCCGCTTCTTGGAGGAGCTGCGGCGCCGCAGCCACCGCGCCACCGTGCTGGGCACCGAGCTGCAGAAGCACACCGAGGCGGCCGCCTACCTCTCCTGCCAGCTGCACGCGGCGCGCCAGAGACTGCAGACTCCGCGCCCGGGCCCC